CTAAACAATGTCTCAAGTGAATCCTTTAGTAGCACTCTATTGTGTATAAAAACCACATTTTCTTTATTTGTTCCTCCATTGATGGCCATCTGGGCTGTTTCCAAGATTTAGCTGTTAGAAATTTTGCTGGAAGTAGCAAACTGCAGCAAATCAAGAAGCGGATACATCATGATCAAGTAGGATTTATCCCAAATGATGGTAAATGTGGTAATTGTAGTACACCATATCAACAGAGCCAAGGTCAAAAACCACATCATCATCTCAATAGATGCTGAAAAACCATTTGACAAAGTCTGACACCCATTCATGATAAAACCTTACAGAGAATTGGAATAGATGGTCTTTATCTCAATCTGATAAAAGCCATCTATGACAAACCAACTGCCAACATTATATTAAATGGCCAGAAACTGAAAGCTTTCATTCTAAAATCAGGAAAAAGACAAGGATGCCCACTATCACCACTCCTGTTCAATATATTTCTGGTTAGGACTGGGAGATAAGCGCCTTCCTGGTAAGTGCAAGGTCCCTGAGTTCAATCCCCGGTTCCGCAAAAGAAAAAAAAAATAGCAAGACCTTGTCTCAATAACAATGATAGTATTAATAGTAATAATAATTTTAAAAAGTATATAATATCTGGAAACATTAGCCAGAGCAATTAGAAAGAAAAGAAATAAGGATAAGATAGGAAAAATTTAATTATCATTAGTTGTTGATGACATGATATTCTATATAGTAGGCCCCCAAAACTTCACCAAAATACTCCTAGAATTAATTAACCAAATTTGTTAGCATAGCAAGAAAAATTAACAGTAAACAGTCAAAAAATCAACAGTCTTCCTGTATACAAATAACAAACTCACTGAGAAAAAAAAATTAGGGAAACAACACCTTTCACAATAGCATCAAGAAAAATGAAATGCTTAGGAATCAATCTAATAAAAAAGAGAAAGATCTATACAAAAAAAACCTCCAGTTCTCTGAAAAAAAGATGTAGAAGATGATATCAGAACATAGAAAGATAGGGCCCCAGGAGATAGCTCAGTGGTATAAGCGTCTGTTTGGCAAGTGCAAAGTCCCAAGTTCAATCCCTGGTACTACCAAAAAAAAGAAGAAGAAGGAGAAGGAGAAGGAGAAGGAGAAGGAGAAGGAGAAGAAGAAGAAAAAAGAAGAGGGGCCAGGGAGATACACTTCCAAAAGTGTTATACAGATTTAATGCAATCCCAATCAAAACACTAATAGCATATCCTACAGAACTAGAGAAAACAATCTTAAAATTCATGTGAAGGGCTCAGCATATTAAAGCATCTGCTTAGGCAGACGCAGAGGTCGGAGGTTCGATCCTGGCCTGCCATGCTGGCCCCACGCTGAGACAGTGATTGAGACTGGGCATGGTGGCGCAAGCCTGTGATCCCAGTGTTTGGGAAGCTGAAAACAGGAGAATCATTACAAGTCCTATCTGTGTAGTGAGACTCTGTAGACTGTAGATCCTGTAGACCTGCTTTAAAAAAAAAAAAAAAAAAAAAAAAAAAAAAAAAAAAAAGAAGAAGGAAAAGATTCGTGTGGAACCAGAAGAGACCTGGAATACCAAAGGTAATTCTGGGCAACACAGGCAAAGCAAGGGACATGACAATCCCTCATTTGAAATCATACTGGAAAGCTACTGTGATACAGACAATGTGGCAAAAAAAACTTTTGCCAGCTGTTCTTCAAAGGACTACTATCTAGAATATATACAAAACTAAAAACATCAGACCCCCCCAAATTTAATGACACAATCCAAAAATGGACATCTGGAATGAATAGACACTTCTCAAATGAAGAAGTGGAAACAGTAAATGTATGAAAAACTGTTCAACATCACTACTGATTTGAGAGATGCAAATTAAAATAATACTGAGATTCCATCTCTAGAGAGAAAAATTATCAAAAAATTAGCCAGTATCAAATGCTGTGGGGGCTGCTGGGGAAAAGGAACCCTTCTCCACTGTTGCTAGGAGTGTAGAATGGTACAGCCACTATGGAAATCAGAGTGGAAATTCCTCAAAAAACTAGAACTAGAGGTCCTATTAGAGCCATTTATTTTTTCCCCTCCGTTGGTATCTTCCCAAAAGAAATATATATAGTGAGTTGAAGACCAGCCTGAATTGCATAATGAGACCCTGTCTCAAAAAGGCTACATAAATAAGTAAATAGAACCACTGCAGGTTGAGCCCAAGAAGCACTAGGCTGTATATCCCCACCCTTCTTTTATTTTGAGAAAGGGTCTAGTGAAGTTGCCCAGACTGCAGTGCTGGGGAATTGAACCGTGGTCCCTTTGTTTTTGCTAAGCTTGCTTTCAGTAGGTGCTTTAGACCACTGAGCCATCTCACCAGCCCCATTGTTTGTTTGTTTTTTTTAAATGTCTTTTTGAAATAGGGTCTCACTATGTAGTTCAGCTCGGCCTTGAGTGCACCTGTAGCTCAGGCTAGTCTCAAATTCCTAGTGATCCTCCTCCCTCAGCCTCCCAAGTGCTGGCATTACAGACATGTGCCATCATGCCCAGCCAAGCTTCAGTCTTCTTTTATTAATTTTTTTTATTTTTGAATTTAAAAAATAAATTTATTTATTTATTTGGCATAGGGGGTCTCTACACAGCCCAGACTTGTAGGGATCCTCCTGTCTCAGCCTCCCCAGCACTGGGATTACAAGTGTGCACCACCTTGCCCGGTTTCAGTGGCTGGCATGGCTCACCTGGGGTTCCAGGGCCAGCATGACATGTGGTAGCAGGGATTGCATCTGGGTCCCTGTGCTTGCCAGGCAGGCACTTAGACTGCTGAGCTGTCTCCCCAGCCCAGCCTCAGTCTTCTTAGTGTCTGGGATTACGGGTATGTGCCACCATGCCTAGCTTTCCTTCATCTTTGAAGGGTCATTTTGTAGGGTATGTAATTTCATGCTTTCTGTTTGACTTTTTTCCCTTTCAGTATTTTAAAGGTCATACCACTGCCTTCTGGTCTCAGGTTTGATTATACTGTGTCTCAGTATATATCTGTTTTGAGTTTATCCTACTTAGAGTGCATTGAGTTTCTTTGGTATGTAGACTCATCTGTCTCACCAGTTGTTTTTCTTAAACGTATTTAGTACAGGGTCTACAAGGTCTCACTGCACAAATCGGACTTCAGTGATCTTTCCTTATTTTCAGCCTCCCAAGAGCTGGGATTACAGGTGCACCACCACATCCAGATTTATTCGCCATCTCAGCCCACCCTGAGGGCGGGGCTGGCATGGCAGGCCAGGACTGAATCCCCAGACCCTGCCTAAGTCTCTTACCAAATTTGCAAAGTTATTAGATCTGATTTTTTTCAAGCACTTTTTTCAATTTTTTCTTTTCTCAAGTTCCAGGAAAAAGAGCAGGGAGTATGCTAGTTGGTGTCCCTCGTGTCTCTTAACCTCTGTTCATTTTTCCTTTTATTTCTCCCACTGGATAATTTCAATCAATTTAGTTTAAATTTGCTGATTCTTTCTTCAGTCTTCTCAAATCTGCTGTTTAATCCCTCTGTTGTATATTAGACCAGCTTTTTAAATTACATCATCTGCATCCTGTGTCATTGACCCTTTGGCCTAGCTCTGGGTAGTTACCATTCAGTGCCACCTTGTGGTTTTTGCATCATATATTTTGATGTTCTGCTTTCTGTGACCTGCATCATTGGTAGTCATAAAGTTACCACTTTCTCTTTACTGACTTTGTATAAAATTCAATCTGATGGAAGCTCAGATTAGACTGTCTTCCTCTGAGGAGCTTAGCCAAGGTCCATCCAGGCCTCCCCATCTTTCTTGCCCTGACTTGCCAGTAACGTCACACTAGTAACATTCCCAGCAGACAGTTGCCTCTGGTTTGTACACAAATATGAACTACGAATCGATTTTACAAATCATGTGTCATAGCGCAGGCCTGTAATCCCAGCAAGTGCTGAAGCAAGAGAAATGTAAATTTGAGTCCAACCTAGGCAATTTAGTGACCTAGTAAGACCTTGTCTCAAAATAAAAAAATAAAATGGAAAATAAAGGTCTGGGGATATAGTTCAGTGAGATGATCCTGAGCTGCATCCTCAGTATTACAAAAACATTTTTTAAGTGGTTGGAAAAAATCAAAAGAATACTAATTTCTGACACACAAGAAGTACATGAAATCCAAACACTGGTGTCCATTAAAAAGGTTATTGATACACATCCTTAGTCATTCACTTCTGAGCTTTCTTTGACTGTTTTCACACTAGGATGGCAGACTTGAGTAGTTGGGACAGAGATTATGTGACTGGCAAAGCTGGAAATATTTACTGCCTGACCCTTTATCGATCCCTGATCAATGTGAGTGTAAAGTCTCCATGGCAGTAAGGAGCTCTTCAACAATGACTAAGCATGGGATGACTGGACTATCAATGGTTTTTCAGGCTTTTTCATTTCCTGTTTCTGTTCTTTCCCTGTAAGAAGTATGTGCTGCTTTCACCCCAGTAACAACAAAGTGGAAGTTCTAAGCTAAATTGCCTCTTTACAGAAACAACTGTGCTTCCAAAGGACTTCTCCCCAAGTGTGTGATCGTTCAAGATCTCCTCCAGAACACATGGGAAATGGACTTCCAGACCCCCCCCAGAGGAACCCAGGGGTCCTAGCTGCCCTCCTCACCCTCCAGTCCCTGCTTAGGTGGACTGTGTGTGCGCCCTGGGCTGTATCAGGCTCTACCTGTTCTGACCCCTATCACCCCCTACCCCAGCTTGGCTACCTGGTAATCCTGAGAAACTCCTTTCCTGGGTGATGGGTCCTCAGCTTAGTGCAGGGGACATGACTGAGGGCTGCAATGGGACCCAAATCCAGGGTCCTCCAAGGTGGGCATGGAATAGACCTCTAGCTATCCTACAGGTCATTGCCCTGACACTGTAAGAAGTGAGGCAGCCCAGCACCTTGTCTAGACCCTTCCTGCCCCTCCCTTGCTCCTCTCTCAGTGCTCTCTCTGTGTCTCCCAGGTGTCTTCTTGTCCCCATCCCCAGCAGCAGCAAATGAATCAGCCCTGGAAGAAGTAGGGGTTGTGGCCCTGGCACCCCTGGTCGACATGCTGAGCAGCCCACACCCCAGCCCTACAGCTGGCTCCCGCATGAGCCCCCTGACCGGCCCTCTCAACATGCTGCTTTCCAGCCCAGCTCCTGGGTTACAGAGCAGTCCGTTCTCCAGCATCCTGAGTGGCCCCATGAGCAGCCACATGGCTGGTCCTATGACTGTTTCTCCAGGGAGCACCCTGGCCAGCTCCCTGGGCCTGCCCTCCACTGGTCCCCTGCCCAGCCACCTGATGGGTCCCATAGCAGTATCCCCTGGGGCCACCCTGGCCAGCTCCCTGGGCCTGACCTCGACTGGCTCCCTGCCTCCAAGCAGCCCCCTAGCAAACCCCCTGGCCACATCTAAAAGCAGCCCCCTGATGGCCCCTGGAGCAGGCACAGTTCCTGTCTCTCTGAGCAGCCCCCTGCTCACTTCCACCGCTGCCCCTATAGGTGTCTCACAGAACCTTCCAGCCAACCCCATGAGCAGCCTTGGGCTGCGGCTGGCCGAGCCACTCCAAGGAAGTCCTTCTGGGCCCCCCTCCTCAGTTGGGACAGGGCATGCAGCTATCTCCAAAGGTAATGGGCAGGGCAGGGGTGCAGGGTGTCCCGGGAGGGCCAGTCTGTGCTCTTTTCCTGCTACTCCCTAATGCCCTTCCTCTCATGTTTTCCCCCTCCCAAATCACTAGCACTCTCCAGTGAACACCCACAGCCCACTCACGAGCCAGAGCCCCTCAACATGCCGTTTATGGGCACAGCCCTCCCTCCCTCTGCCCCTGTGGGTACTGTAGCCACACCTGGTCCAATGATGGCCTTCTCCTATGGCACCTCAGATGCCCAGACCCAGCCGAGTATTCCGCAAGGACAAAAGGTTCCTGTTTCAGTCCCCACCTCCCTAACCAGCTCCCCAGCTGGTAGAGTCCTTAACCCTACCCCTACCCCTCCCCCCCAAGCTTCTGCCAGCTGTATCCCTTTGAGCATTACCCATTCCACCTCTCGGCCACTGGCCACCTCCAACTCTCCTCCACGAAACCCTCACACCCCACCTCGCGCCACGTCCTTCCCGGCTTCCATCACGGACACCCGGGGTTCACGTACCACGGAGACAAACCGGAAAAGCATCCTGGAGTTGGAGCGGAAACTGACTCACCGCAAAACTAGCAAATTCCCTGATGGCTCCCGAGGTCAGTGACATCACAGGGCTCAGTGCTCTCCTGGGGGCCCCCAGGCCATCTACCCTGATCCTCCCTAGACTGCTAATGTGGTCCCCCCACCCATCCCCACTCAGCTGAGACCTCCTGTCGTCTCCAGAGTCAAAGCAGCTGACCTGGGAGAGGCTAGTGGGGGAGATCGCCTTCCAGCTGGATCGCAGGATCCTGTCCAGCATCTTCCCAGAGCGTGTGCGCCTCTATGGCTTCACCGTTTCCAACATTCCTGAGAAGATCATCCAGGTATGTGGTCATCCATCTTCTTGTTGCTAGGGGGCCTGCAAGGATGGGGTGGTGTGCTGGCCACTAAGGGTCCCTCCCTGCAGTGACGCTAAACATGTTGGAATCCAAGGGGGGCCCTGCAGTGGAGGAAGCCCAGTGCATCCATCCCTGCCGTCAGCAGATCTCTGGGATCTCCAGAGAAGACCAAGGTAGGGAGTCTCAAGAGTGGGCAGGTAGCTCTCCACCTTTGTCACCCCTGTGGCCTTCAGATGGGTGGCCCTAGTTTCCAGGGGCTGAGCCAGGAGACAGGCCCTGGAGATGCTGAGCAGCTGGCAGATTTGTCACGTGGGACTTCATTCCGGTGTATTCCCAAGGTGTTTAGCTGCCTTCTCTGGGAGGGCTGGAGCACATCTCCACATCATTAGCCACTATGTGTGACAGTCCATGGGAGGTCCGGGTCTGCACTGCACTGGACACCACAGAGCAGCCTGTGAATCCCCTGGAAGCTCCTTCCCAGGCAACATGGGGCTGCTGGGGGCAAGTTAGCGGGGGCACCAACCTGCTTATCAGTCACTGGGCTTCTCTTGGGAAAATGGTCTCACTTGTGTTCCTAAACTCTGCTTCTGTGTGCATGAGGGTGAGGTCGGGATGGGGGTTGGGGGTGGCACTGGGGTCTGAACCCAAGGCTTTGCACTGAGCTACTCAGCACTTTTAAATTTTTTTTTATTTATTTATTTATTTATTTATTTATTTATTTCGTTTCTTGGTACTGGGAATTGAACTCAGGGCCTCTTGCTTTCCAGGTAGGCACTATGCCACTGAGCTATGTCCTCAGCTGTCATTTTTAAATTTTGAGACATGGTCTCACTAAGTTGCCAGATTGGGTTCAAAGTTGTGATTCTTCCATCTCAGTCTCCCAGAGTGCTGTGATTATAGGCCTCTGCCACAGAACCCAGCTCCCAGCCATTCCCCATCTCACCCTTTTCAAGATGAGATGGAATTGGTACTGGGAATTGAACTCAAGCCCTTTCATTTGCCAGGCAGGTGCTGTGCCACTGAGCTATATCCCTGACCCTATATTTAATTTTAATGTCAGAAATATTGACCTTTTCCCCTATTGTTTGTAAACTTCATGTTTTGATGTAAAAATCCTAAATAAACTACTTAGACACAAAACTGCCCAGGGGCCAGGGAGATAGCTTAGTAAAATAAGCACTTGCCTAGCATGCACAAGGGCCTGAGTTCAATCCCCAGTTCTGGAAAAAAAAAAGCCCAGAGTCAAAATAAACAGCAAAATAATACACAAATAATAGGAAGTAGGGAGATTATGTACATGTGTCAACTTCCCACAAGAAATATAAACATTATACACTATACACATGTACCAATGAGCTAAATAAATTCTTCCAATAGCTGAAAATATTCTACATTTTCCATATTCTATTTATTCTGTGTTTTTCTGAAGTGTTTGGAATCTGGTATTTTCACTTGAATCTGATTTCTTCCCATAATTGATCATACTGGATGGTGTAAAAGGGGCATTCCTTCTCCTGAGGATTGACAGCCCTCATCTAGCCTCAGAAGCCAGCAGGACTCAGAAGGCCCAATATGTCAGGAAGCCTCCAGACCAGCATGCAGGCAGAGTGCAGAGCCTCAGCTAGTAGGAGTGAAGGGACAGCCTAGATAGAGGTGAGGATAAGGGGCAGCAAGATAGGCAAGGAGGGCTATCTTGATAGGGCAGGTGAGAGCTCCCTCTGAGATGCACAGCCAAACCATGGGAACTTCACAGGACTGTACTAATGTGGCCATCCAGCCAGCCTTCCTGGACTCGCAGATGTCAGATCCTGGCACGACCAGGACACAGCAGGACTGGTTGCCCAGAGCCTACCTCAGTTTCCACCGAAACCTGCATCTGTGTGGGCTCTCCAGTCAATCTCACTCTCGCCCACGCTGACCTCATTATGGGAGGTCAACAGAGTTGGACAGAGTTGGGCAGGCCCCTTCTTGCTCTTCTACATCAGTTGGCTCTTCCCTTCAGTATGAGTTTGAGCATCAGTTCATCAAGTTTCAGGGGAAAACTGGTTCAAATCTTGAGTAGCTTTACATTGGTTGATGGGTTAAGGTATGCTGATTTGTAGACCGCCATCTCTGCAGGTCATCATCCTCAGCACCTTGTGGTTTATGTTGCTATGTCAAGGGAACCCTCTGGTGCAGTTGCTGACCCTCCATCGCTGTCCAAGACCACCACCACTCTCTTGCAGTGCAGACTGCCCAGGGTAATTTAAAACTTGGCAAACACATTGTAGAAACATAATTAGGTTTCTAAATTTTGGCATCTGATGTCTTGTTGGCAAAGACAACACTTGATTATAAGCAAAAGTCTCATTGTCTCTATAGAAATTACTGTGAAAAGAAGCTTCTTGTGTGAAAATGGACATTTAAATGGAAGTTGATAACTAGAGATAGGCTGTGCCAGTACCCTTCTCCTGTGGTTCCTTTACCCTTAGCATAGGAGATACCACCTAGGCTGTCACAGCACTAACAGGTGACTCTTTATGAAAAAAGAAGAACAGGAAAGAGCAGTGTTTCTCAGTGTCCGAGGAATGCAAACCAATGTGGCACCCTGTGAACCCCATTGGCAACCTGATGCTAGACACTCTGCCCAAGAGATTCCATCACTACTTCCACACCCATCATCCCTCTATCAGCAGTGGCTAGCACTTTGGCCATTATATCCTTGCTTCCCAGAGACCCTCATTCTTCTTGGGAGTAGCTGTTCTAGGGCCCCACTTTAGAGACCTGTTTTTCAGGACCTAGACTCACACTTAAGAGTGGTTCTCTGTAGGCTGCACTTTGAATTAATATCTAGTCTCATTTAGGAATCATAAATCTACCTCCTGGTCTCCAGCCCATCCAGCTGCCTAGGGACCAATTGTTGATCCACATCTGCATCTGTCCAGGATGCCTCCAGGCCAGCATGCAGGCAGAGTGTAGAGCCTCAGCTAGTAGGAGTGAAGGGATAGCCTAGATAGAAATGGGGATAAGGGGCAGCAAGATAGGCAAGGAAGGCTATTTTGATAGGGCAGGTGAGAGCTCCCTCTGAGATGCACAGCCAAACTATAGGAACCTCATGGGACTGTACTAATGTGGCCATCCAACCAGCCTTCCTGGACTCACAGATGTACGATCCTGGCATGACCAGGCCACAGCAGGACTTCATTTCCCTTCCTCAAAAGTTTGTTTTTCTTAACTCCAGTGCCAGTGGCTGCTAGACTCCCTAAATTCTATTCAGATCTAGTCATTTACTTCAGGACTGCCATATAACGTTAGGCCACGTGACTGAAAAGCTTGGATTGAGCCCCATTATTCAGTGAAGACTCACTGCTGACTTTTCATTGACCCTGGGCATTTTTTATGAGTTTGTAGTTATGGCATGTTTTATAAGCCAACTAAAAGCATTCCTACTGGTCACACCCATCACTTTCTATGCAGTTACAAAGATCTCCTCTATGGAAAAATGTTCTGTGCTCTGTTCTCAGCACCCTAGTCTAGGAGACCCTGAGTCCAGCTGTGTCCATGTGGGAGGAACAGGGACAGTGTAAGGAGGGTCTGGACACAGCCACAAGTATCTAGTGCCCCTTGCTGCCATTCACTGGCCTGCTAAGAATATTTTGACTTCTGCAAAATGATTTGGTATCCAGAAACCTTGCCAAACCCACTTTCTAGTTCTAATAAATTGTATATGGTCTTGGCTTTTCTTTCCAGCCAATACAACTATTATATTCCCTTTTAATCAAATATATTTAAACTGATATGTAAGAACAAAAAAGTGCAGTATTAATGAGATGCCATATGATATGTGAATACACGCACACATTGTGCAATCCTGTTACTCATAATGATCTTAAATCTTTCTCACTCACTCTCTCTTCCTCTCCCTCTTTAGTGCTGGGAATAAACCCAGGCTCTTCTGCATATCAGACAAGCTGAACTACACCCAAACCCTGAATCTCATTTCTTTACTTAGCATATAGTAGCTGATACTTAGATTCTTTGGCAGAATACCCCAAGTACCAGGTCATGTGGACAACTCTGTCCTGTATCTACTTGACAAGAACACAGTCTTCCCATTAAGTGTGCAGTGTATTGCAGGCTATTCATCAGACCAATTCTTAGGCAAATCAGTCAGTGTGCTTGGTCGCAGACAACAAAATCCACACTAGCTGATGTAAGTAGGTAACAGTTTATTGTACATGTTCAGGTTAGCGATGCTCCAAGATGGATGTAAAATTGGGCTTGTTGGTTGTACTGCCCAATCCCAATAAAACAAGGAACTTTCCTAGGGGACACTCCGCTAACCCAGGAGAGCATGCAGGTACCTAGTCAGATGTCCCCAATCTGTCACAGATGCAGCTGAAGAAATAGTGTCTTACCAGTCCTCTACTTCAGATGCTCATCTGTATGTGGAAGTTTCACCACCCTGTCATGTTCACCTTCCTTCCAAAAGCCATGTGCTTTGGTGCAGCAGAAGCTGGAAAAAAAAGATGTTCAGCTTCCATCCTCTTCCTATCTGGGGAAATAGCTCAGTTGAGTAAGCACTTGCCTGGCAAGCGCAAGGGCCTGAGTTCAATCCCCAGCACCAAAAAAAAAAAAAAAAAAAAAAAAAGAAGCTCACTTAATTTTAAATTGAGCACCTTGGCCATTTTATGTTTTTTTTTTTATCTTCTTGGTTTTAAAAATAAATACATATAGGAGAATGAAGTTTCCTCTAATTAGGAAGATAACTGGTACAACAGAAGCACTTAGTAGTAGTTAGAAAGGATCTTTGCCTGATGAAGTTACTGTCCAGTTGGGGGTACGGTGGATGAGAAAGTGAGTAGAGACCAAATCGGTGCCACTGAGCCCCCTGTCCAGGCACTGGGGCCCCTAGGACCCACAGTGCTGGGGACAGGGGCCCCTCTCAGGATGGAACCCAAGACAATGAAGGAGGAAGCCTTCAGAGGAGGCAGAGAGGCAGCAGGCCGAGGAGCCAGGAGAAAGCCTGGGAAAGACCCATAGACTCTGGGACCAGGCAATTCTGGAGACATGCAAAGCCTCATTTTTCTTATGCCTCCAAATTCTCACCTATTCCTTCTGGTGGCCTCGTTCCAATCTCAAATATCTGCTGGTAGATAAAACAGGCCACAAGGATATGTCCTTGAGGAGTTTTGGGGAGCCACTGGCCCTGTGTGGGTTGGATTGAGCTTTGGGGGCTTTTCCCTCAGGCTTAGCCACCCGGGCTCCCATACCCTACATTCCCTCTGGCCTCTTCCCTTGGACCTCCTCCTTGTGCACCCCCTCAGATTGTGGCCCACCATATCCAACTCTCCAGCCACACTTACCCTCTAGTCCCCTTGCCTGCCTGTGGACCAGGATGAGGTCAGAACGTCTCTGATGGCCACTTTCCCTGCAGGCTTCTCTGAACCCCAATGACCACAAGCTGGATGAGGAACTGTGCCAGACACTCACACAACGCTATGTGAGCATCATGAATAAGCTGCAGAGTCTGGGCTATAACGGACGGGTGCATCCTGCCCTGACGGAGCAGCTAGTGAATGCCTATGGTATACTGCGTGAGCGGCCAGAGTTGGCTGCATCCGAGGGTGGCTCCTACACTATGGACTTCCTGCAGCGGGTGCTGGTGGAGACAGTGCACCCTAACATGCTCACTGATGCATTGCTCCTGCTCTCCTGCCTCAACCAGCTGGCGCATGATGATGGCAAGCCAATGTTCATCTGGTGACACTGGCATCTGGCTGGCCCAGGCTTGCTCTACTCTGCAGTCCTGTGCACAGCCATTAAATCTTCCCACAGAGGCTACCACTGGACCCAGGCTGTTCTGGGGTGCTGCTGCCTTTGGGTGGCTTGCCAGACTCCTGAAGCAGGCTCCTTCATCATGCCTGCTGTGAAGTTCCACACCCATACCCTGGAGAGAGCTCTGCAGCAAGGCTTGGAAGCTGGCTGCACATCAGAGCCCCCAGATCTCCTTTCCTTGGTGGTGGAAGCAATGAAAACTCTGAGGTTCGGATCAAGAAGAACAAAAATTGTGAAGGAGTGGAGCAGGCTGGGAGGGGAGTCCCTTCCTCCATGGTAGGAACTAGGGTGCAGGGAGCTTCAGGGCCTAAAGGACAGGAAGGCAGTAGAGGGAAGAGAGCCAGAAGACAACAGTCTCACCCTCCCGGGCAGAGGACAGTCAGGGAGATGCCAGCCCCTTTCCAAGATGCCCAAAGTCTGGAAGCCTGGAGGTCCTGGAGCTCAGAGCTGGAGAGGGGCTCAGGCACACGGGCTGGATAGGGAGGAAGCACAGGAGACGAAAGGGGGACTGGAGTAGGACTGAATACTGGTGGTGACCTAGACTAAGATGGGAAGGACTGTGGGTGGTATTGAAGCTGAGGGGTTTAGACCAGGATGGGTTGGGGGTGGAAGAAAAGAAGGGAGCATGGGAAAGCCTAGAGTGCCCACTGGCCCACAAAGCAGAAAAGGGCAGCCCCTGCCTGAGGGAGGGGGCAGGGCTGGGCTAGGGAGGTGCTGAGAAAGACACCAACTGAGAAGGGTCTGAAAGCACCAGCAACTGCCAGCCAGGCTGGCAGGAGAAGCCATAAGGTCTGGGTTCAAACAGGAGTCCTGTCAACTACAAGGTGAACTCAAGACAGAGGGGTGTGGAATGTACTGAGGCTCTCGGCCCGGATGCCAGGCCCCAGGAGCTTGCTGCCTTCTGTTCCCCAGCCCCCATCCCAGTACTCCAACAACTTCAGGGGATCCAGTCAGACAGCTCAGCCTCTGGCTCAGTTCCTGGGATAGTCAGGGCAGGACTTGTTCCAGCCTGACCAGAGGACAGCCAGAAGCCCCTCTCTCTCCTTGGCAACCTGGGTGGAAGGCAGTTCTGATCCAAACCTGCAGTATCACTTTAAAGGCATTTGGCTGAGAATAATGGTGCAGGCCTATAATCACAGAACTTGGGAGGCTGAGCCAGGAGGATCACCTAGTTTGAGGCCAGCCTAGAATGCATAGTAAGACCTTGTCTCAAAACTAAACACAATGATGATGGTGATGATGATAAAAAGTATTTGTACCAGGAAGATTGAAGGGTGAGTGTTGGTTTACTTCTGGAATTAGAAAGGTGGGCATCCAAAGGGAACAAGCAGGGCCTGGGAGTGGCAGCATCTTCTAGAAACCTATGAAACCACTGCCAGAGAGTGCTCAGAGAGTGGTTTCTAGCTGGATGGCATGCCCAGGAGGGGGCATCATAGGGCAGATCCAAAGTCCCTACTCTGCAGTCTGCAGAGTGGAAGCTCTTATGAGCCAGCCTTTTGGAGGACTGTGTAGAGCAGTGAGCTGCCTCCCATTGGCTTTAGGTCTTTGCACTCAGGAGCCAGAACCTGCAGTGCTGTGGAGAGGTGGTCAGGGGATACCTGGGGAGCCTGAGGCCCTATCTGACAGGTGAGGAGCCAGGTGCAGCACACTGTCCTCCTCCTAGTGGTCCTCTACCTGCCCACACTCAGAGTGTGTGCCTGCACCCCAGACTCTACTTGTATAGTGTAGAGCCCTTCGTGTCCATCTGTAGCTTCAGGGGTGGACAAGACAAAGAGTATCTCATGTAGGGCTGGAAGCCAATCTGTGCCTGCTCCTTGACAGACTGGTACACTTTAGCAACCTGCTGCATAGGCACAGTATGCTTGTTGCCCTGCTGGCCAGCCTGTGGCCTTTATTTTGTGAACTACCAAATGCAGCCAGTTGTGGCCTGCAGTGCTAGGTACAATGCTGATGGCTTGGGTTACCATGACCTGGACTTTGCACGCCTACAAGAGTTGTTTGATCTCCATGCAGCCCAGTGTTGCTGCATGATGTGGACGCGCTGTGTGTGCAGCTTGGGACCAACTTCAAGCTGCTAGGCAGAAGGCTCCTCCTGGTCTCACACTACCTGCTGCTCCACCACCCTCTGTTGTTTCCCCAGTGCCTGTTAGGAGAATGCACTGGCCTCCAAGGGTCTGCTGTCCACTAGGACACAGGCCCTCCCCACCCCATCACTGGGTGCTCAAGTGGAAAGGAATGAGCCTCAAGGTAAAATGGTCAAATGCTAACACTGGAGGTGTAGCTAGCTAGGCATCGTGGGTGGGTGTCTCACTGAGGGGCTTCTACACCACACACATGTGAACACACCAACTGGTGAGCCCTGAAAAAGGGCCCTGACCTCCCAACCTCTTCTCTCTATGGCAGCAGCAGACCCCTTCCTGCATCTCTGCTCCCCACCTCCTAGTCTATTCACTGAATCCCGATGAAATGCCCTGGGGGTGAACAGATCAGCATCTGGTTGGGGGCCATGTGTCCCTAGGATGATCTCACTGCACACCCCCAGCCCTAAAGGATGAGCCTTGATGCTACACATAGCTGTCACTGCTGGACACCTAGGTCATGCAGTCTGAAGGCTGCTGGGTGATCTAAATTTCATATATGTGGTTTGTTGATTTGCTTAAGACAGGGCTGCACACGCATTGCAGGGTGACCATGAGCTCACTCTGTATCGCAGGCTGACCATGAACTCGCAGCAATCCTCCTGTCTCAGCCTCCTGACTACTTGCTAGGTGAGGTGAAGTTCTGGGCAAAGCTGAGCCAAGGCCCCTCTGAGCACATGTGCGGGAGCCACTGTGGCACAAGCTCCTCAGCTATTTCAAAGTCCTCTGCCAACTAGTTCCCTAGGCCCTGGTACTGTGCCTGGGTGAGAGGCTGGAAGTGACCCATCTGGGAAGCTCCTGCTGAGTCCACCCTCCTCAGCCCCTTAACAGGGTTAATCCCAAACACATGCAAACCTCTGGAGATGCTGCAGAGATGAGTGGAATTCTAGGAGCCAAACAGCAAGGGATACCCTGCCCTGGCTCATGGAGCAAGAGAAAGATTGCCACCTCTGCAAGGCAGGAGCCCTGCTGAGACCACCCAGCTAAACCCTAGCAGGCCTGGTGATTGGACAGTATCACGTTCCTCAAATGCCAGCAAAGTGTGGCTAGATCGGCCAGCTATGGGACCACCTCTCAACCTAACTCCTGCCCTAGGAAGGTAGAACAGGGATGTCCAGTACAGTCCTGGCAGGGCTCATGGACCATTCAGTATCTGCCTGACCCTAGCACGCAGACCACAGGTATGGCAGGTGACAAGACCACAGTGCAGAAACAGCCATACCCCAGAACTAGGAGACTTAAGGAAATCTTTATTGTGGAGGTCTTCACACAGCCTCCTGGGCCCGGCGGTACTCATAGACACTGCCACGTTGGGAGAAGGCTGGAAATTGTGGGGGTGAGCCAGGAGGTGGGGCAGGGTCTTCTGGGTTCCCGTAGCCCCCACCACCAGGGGTGTGAAGGCAGAACACATCCTGTGGAGGACAGGTATAAGTTCAGAGTAAGCATGCCCTGCCCCCAGCCAAAGCAGTACCTGTCCCTCTAGACCTCTTGAGAAGCCTAGTGAGCAACAGATTCTACCAGTGCAGTAGCACACACTTGTAATCTCAACATTCTGGGAAACTGAGGTAGAGGATCATAGCAAGTTTGGGCAACAGTGACTTACAAGTCTCCAAGGGACTATAACTCAGTAGAAGGCTGAAGAACAGAAGAGAAATAGCAGGCGACTCTTACCCCAGGGTACACAGTTACCGATGTTTTTGCACCCAGATTCACTGTGCGCCCATCCTTGCGGATCAGCAGGTTTAGGCCACAGGCACCTGGCTCACCACCTTAGCGGGAGGCAAAGTACAAGAGTGTGTAGGGAGGTAGGAGAGCTGGGGAGGGGAGACCCAGCAAAGTCCAACTTGGAGCCCAGATTGGGTCCGGAGAGGGAGGGGCTGGGAGCCACTCACCGTGGAGGCCATAGGGCCTGAACGCACGGCGCTCAGTCAGCACAGACAGCAGGGCTTCCTCACGAAAAAGCAGCTCTCGGACTACACCATCACCACCATGGAAGCGGCCTCGACCCCCAGAGTTCGGCCTCAGCTCAAAGCGCCGCAGGATGACAGGGTACCTGCACAGACAGGAACTCAGGTCAGCCAACTGCACTTCCCCCAGCTGCCCACCCCTCACCCTGCTCACCGGCTCTCCAGGATCTCAGGGTCAGTGATGCGTGTGTTGGTCATATGGCTATGCACACCGCTACGCCCATGCCAGCCAGGTCCTGCACCTGCACCTCCAGCCACTGTCTCGTAGTAGCCCATGCGGGCATTGCCCAGTGTCACATTGTTCATGCAACCCTGGCAAGGAAGTTGTCACTGCCCTTGGCTGCGGTGGGGCATGTACTCCCTGTACTACTAGCCAGTCTAGCAGCCCCAGAGCTATGGCCACCCCACCCAGCTGTACCTGGGAGGCTGCACAGGCCCCAAAGGCCCCCAAAATGACATCCACCACACGCTGCGATGTGAGAACATTGCCACCCACTACTGCAGCCTCTGGAGACGGGTCCAAGATGGAGCCTCTAGGAATCACCACACGCACAGGAGCCAGGCAGCCCTGTGTGCAGGTAGAAGGTAGCCAGGTGCAGTTAGAATTGATCTCTCTGGGGTTCTAGCCCCTGAAACATCTAGTCTCCACCCACTCTTGATCAGCTGGGGGCGGTTTTGCCTTGGTGAGGACCTCCCACATATCATATACCACGCCCCTACCAACCTGGTTGAGTGGGATGTCACAGCCCACAAGACAACGCAAGCAATAGATGAGGGCAGACAGTGTTATGGCTCGAGGGGCATTGAGGTTGCCAAACACTTCAGGCCCAGTGCCACTGAAGTCAAATACAGCACTGCCCTGCAAGGAAGAGGGGCAGGAGAAGGGAGAGCTCAGCATCTCTGCAGCCAGCAAGGCTTCTGAGGTCTGACAGTCTCTCCCCACCTCTCCAATAGTCCTGACCTGACTCAGATTGATCTGCACATGAAGGCGGATGGGGGAGCCATCATCCATGTGGTCCTCTGCAGACACCTCCAGAGGCAGACCCTGGGCCTGCCGGGAGGTCCCAAAGGCCCGAAGCATGTCACGGACTGCCAGCTCAGCATTTGCCTGGCAAGAAGAGATAAGCTGCAGCTATGCCACTTTCAGGGTAGCCCAGCTATCCTGAGACAGGCTTAGCACTGTCCCCATGCACCTGTTCCCAGACCCACCTGAATATGGCCCATGTAGGCCTGTACCACCTCCAGGCCGTACTGCCCAATGAGCTCCCCCACCAACTGGATGCCCTTCTGGTTGGCTGCCACCTGAGCACGGAGGTCTGACAGGTTGTCATGCAGGTTCCTAGTTCCACTACAGCCAGAGATCTTGCCTGGTGCCCGCAAG